CTGTTTGCGGATGATGTTGTTCTGTTGGCTTCATCAAATCAGGACCTCCAGCGTGCACTGGGGCGGTTTGCAGCCGAGTGTGGTGCGAGCGGGATGAGGATCAGCACCTCCAAGTCCGAGGCCATGGTTCTCGACCGGAAAAAGGTGGTTTGCCCTTTCCGGGTCGGTGGAGAGTCTTTGCCTCAAGTGGAGGAGTTCAAGTATCTCGGGGTCTTGTTCACGAGTGAGGGGCGGATGGAGCGTGAGATTGACATACGGATCGGTGCAGCGTCTGCAGTGTTGCGGTCGCTGTACCGGACCGTCGTGGTGAAGAGGAAGCTGAGCAAGGCAGCAAAGCTCTCGATTTACCGGTCAATCTACGTTCCTAATCTCACCTATGGTCATGAGATTTGGGCAATGACCGAAAGAACGAGATCGCGGATACAAGCAGCCGAAATGAGTTTCCTCCGCAGGGTGGCCGGGCGCTCCCTTAGAGATAGGGTGAGGAGCTCGGTCACGCGGGGGGAGCTCGGAGTAGAGCCGCTGCTCCTCCACGTCGAAAGGAGCCAGTTGAGGTTGCTCGGGCATCTGTTTCGGATGCCTCCTGGACGCCTCCCTGGGGAGGTGTTCCGGGCGCGTCCCACCGGGAGGAGGCCTCGGGGAAGACCCAGGACACGTTGGCGAGACTATGTCTCTCGACTGGCCTGGGAACGCCTAGGGGTCCCCCCGGAAGAGCTGGAGGATGTGTGTGCGGATCGGGAAGTCTGGGCGGCTCTGCTCAGGCTGCTGCCTCCGCGACCCGACCCCGGATAAGCGGGAGAAGATGGATGGATGGATGGATGGATGTTTGTAAAGCTCTGAGTGTTTTCGCTCTTGCAAAAACTCAGTTGTGTCAAAAAATCTGACCAGGATTTTGTTGACATCAAAACACAATGTGACACTTTCCAGCTGTTTGCAGACCCCATGTCAGTTGATGTGGAGAGGATCCTAAGTGTTTTGCAGATGGCTTGACTGGCAGTGCACCAGACAATTTCTGAGAGAATTACCTCCAACCTTACCTGAGCTGTCCCACATGCTCAGTTAGGTAATGTGCCCATTCAGAGGCACATATCTATGTAAGAAAGCTTCCTTGACTCTAAACTTTGGTAAATGCAAGTATGGCTCCTTTCTTAGTGATGCCTATCTTAAAGTCCTAATTTACAGGTCATAATATTTTCATAATTCAGGGATTTCATTTTCTGATTTTTACTTTACTTTCAGAAATTTGTTGGTATGTTTTCACTCTGTCATTGTGGGATATTGAGTGTAGATTGACTGGAACAATGACAACTGTATGCATTTTAAAGTGAATTTACAACTCAAAGTGTACAGTGGCCAAAGTGCAGGGTTCAGAAGTAAAAAGATATTTGGCCACTAAATTGGTCCAGCATTGGTACGTTACTAGATAACATCACATGTGACTCAGGGCTGAGCAGAGTTGAGAGTTGCCATATAGATTGACGTGGAGCTGTATATCAAAATGATATATGAAATATGAATGAAAATGATAAGGTACAGCTAACAACTTTATACCATTTGTCGTAATAAAAAGAAATCCTTAAGTCTAACATTTAGCATCATGAAACTAAATACATTGCAGACAGTGTTGATGGAAAGTTCAGTGAAAAATAAAGCACACCTTTTCTGGTTTGTTGCAGACTAATGGAATCAGTGCCTGAGGTTCAGTGGCCATCGCACATTCATCAATAAGGATCTGACGGGCGCTGACTGTCTTAGGCAAGCTTGGGGTGGAGGACTGTGTACATGTGCACAGTATGATGTCGTGCCGTTCCAGCTCATATACCCGAGCATCTCTCAGAACCTTTTTGTATCTAGGAAAAAAACAATTTGAATACAATGAGAATAGTAGGCATTATGAATGAATTATTATTCTATGTAACTCCAGTTCCTACTATGTTTACATTTGACGATTTTTACTGCCCATTAACAAGAACTTTATTATAATAATAATGTAATTGCAATTACACAGTGACGTAGCTATGTAGCATGGTGATTAATTCCAGTTGCAACACAACCTCTCTTGACTAACATGTCTGGTAATCCAATACTGAACTGTAACTTACTCCTTCACCTCCTCAGCAGTCAACTTCTCTCTGATTTGAATGCGCTTGTCAAATGCTTTTATTGCTTCTGCAAAAGGGTTTGGGTGCTCTCGCATGCGGTGATGCAGAGTGATGCTCCTAAAACCAAGTAAAATATGTCAGTATGTAGCCCTCATTAAGGAAACACTTCCAAAGGGAGTGTTATCAATTGGGTTAAAATACCTGAGCTCTGGTTTGGAACGATCTTGGCGGAGGGTCCTTTGAGAAAACTGAAGGTTGCTGTCTGGATAAGGGTAATCAACCATCTCCACTTGTTGGCTGTAGACCCTAAGGGGTTTCAGGCTGTCGGTGAACCTCATCAGGTACTCTGTGTCACGGCATTCAAAGACAGATGGCACATGTAGCATCTATGTGACTCAGTTCTTACAGTAATGACAAAAATGTAGATAAACCTTCAGCACACACAAAGTAACTTGCCTGCCACAACATCAACAGACTTGTTGGATGGGCCGCAGTAGAGAATGACTTCTTTTTTGTCCTTGTCCTTTGGGTCAGCAAATTTCCTTGGGTGCTTAGCGTTCAGCTCAACAAACCAGTTGACTATGTACACGCCAACCACTGTCTTTCCAGTTCCTATCGAGCAAATGAAAAAAACAAAAGCTTAAACCTGACCTATGAATATGAAGCAATGATGTAAACACAAGTTCTTTGCCTTACCTGGCGGTCCCTGTATAAGTGTGAAGGTATTGTTTAAAGCAGCCTCCACAGCAAGATATTGACTGTCATTCAGCTTTGGCAGTCCATCTGGTAGCTCTTTTCTCACGATTTGCCCTTTTAGCACACTGCATTGTACTACTGCAAAGACAAAATGAGAAATGACTTGTTTTGTCATTGTTTTTTGCAAACTAATAAAAAAAATTTAAAAAAAACAATGAAAGTGTAAAAAATAAATAAATAAAAATATTAAAGACATAATCTGTATTTTATGTCCAACTCAAATGGATTTGAAAAATTAAAGCACTGGTTGTTGTTGAAAATTGGACATACCGTCTTTTGGAATACGTTGTCCAAGTGCTATTCTCTGAACAAGATCACATGCTGTTCCTAGGCTGGCAACAGCAGTTTCTGCTCGACTATGAAAAGAAGACAAAGAAACAATTCATGCATTAATTTTTGCTGAAGCAGGAGGAGAAATTTTTGGTTAACTGAATAAATGTCACTAAAAACCAGTTAATTCAAACTATATGCAATGTGAGACAAAACTGAAGCACTTTTAAACTTACATGCCTGGCAGGAGCTTCGGAATGATTTCAACTGTGAAACGGGTGTTTTTCTGAAAAACACAATCAGCATTCGCCTCCATTGGCAGGTGATTGACGTAGAACTCCACTTTGCTTCCGTCATTTTTTCTTTCCTCTACATTGCTTGTGACACTGTGGGCAACCCATGTGAACTCTTTAGGGTCACCTGGTGCTGAATGTTCTGGAGCTGAGGTCAATCTCAGACCTCTTTTTCGTATGCACAGTAAGCACTTTGCGAGGTTACATTCAATGGCCCATTTTTTGATCCATTCCACAGGTAAAAAGAAACTTCCTGTTAGTATGCCTTCCTGCTCTTGTTTAAAGTTTACTACCAGGTTCTCAATGATAATGCTGTCACTTTCATTCACTGCAGTGGTAGCAGATTCCACCTCACACAACGGTTTCCAGATTCGCACGTAATCCCTGGTGTCCCGATAATGAACTTTTGATGGCTCATGTGCAGATCCAGTGAAGCATGTGGTAGAGCTGCGGACATGGTCCACGCAGATCTCGAACTTTGGCTTAATGTGCACCAATTGAACAGTGGGCATGTGATGACCTCGTCTGATCTCTGATGTCATTTGAACCTTAAGGGTCTCCCCGAGCTGCAGCTGGAGGTGGATGTCAACCCAATGCTCACTGTCTAACTCTGGTACCTCGTGCTCGTCAGGAGTGCATGTGTTAGTTTGAGAATGAGGAATGTTGGAGGACTGTGGCAGAACAGTTGGTTTTTCCAGTTGCTTGATGTTGGCATTCATTATGAGAGACTTAGCACGATCCATATTTCCTTTGTCAATCGCCTCAGCGGTAGCTTTCCACACTGTCAATGGAAGCTCAACACAGGGACCACAGTCCGGCATCATTGTCAACTCCTGGTGTATTTGCATGGCATCAGCTGCGTAGATCCTCCTTTTCCATTGAAGAGTGATGCTGTGATTTTCTTCATCATATAGTGGTTGGTCGTCTAACTGTAAATCTTTGTACATTATTGATAAACTCCCAGCAAGTATGTTCCTGTTGAAAGGAAATGACACTGCAAAGCTTTCTCCTTCAGGATCCATACGAACAACAAAGGCGAACTTTGAGGCACTTTGTTTTTTCATGCTCACTGCATAGAAGATCTGCTCAGCCTTTTGTTCATACTCCTTCGCATTCTTGAGGTGCTGCTCAAATTGGCTGCACAAAGCGGTAATATCTCTCTGAGTGTACTGGACATCGCTTTCACATATGAAAGAGTGCAAAAGTCTCTGCAAGACGATATCCATGTACCGCCGTATCGGTGAAGATGCTTGTGTGTAAGATGCTAACTGCAGAGAATAATGACCAACCTCTGCTGCAGGAGAGGAGTGTGAGCAGATGGCATACGCTTTACCAGAGCACTTTCTGAAATGATCAGTGACTGCCCGGAGCAGGGGGTGTATGTCATCTGCAGCAACCAGGTCCACCATTTTGTCTGTATCATCTGTTCTGGCAGCTGACTGGATATCGTTCCACACTTCTGTGAGTATACGGAAGTTTTCACAGCTTGGGGTTTGTTTGTTATTGTCAAGTCTGTGCCTCACATGAAAAGACAATGGTATTAATGGTCCAAATTTCTCTGTGAACTCTTCTACCTTGTCAGGATCTGGTTTTTCCTGACAGCGGAGGGGTGTGCAATGCCTGGTTTTCTCAAAACTGCTCAACGTTTTAGATGCATGATGGTTAAATAACACACTCAGCTCTTCAATCATCAGATGGGCTTTGCGTTTCCCAGGCACCCTGTCATCGTCAGACTGTGAATAAGCCCAATCTACAAGTCTAATCTTCCTCTGAGCTTTAGCAAAACAGTAAGCTACTGTGACACAGTCCTCCACTGTATCAAATTTGGGGCTCTCCTTATACCTTTCGGAGATGATCTTTTCTGCTTTTTCATATGACAACTGCCTGTCAGAGTTGATCAGAGAAAGTTGAAATGTGGGCTCTCCGATTATCTTGTGTGTTTCCTTTTCTACTTCGAACATCAGTGAGACCACTCTGCGATCTTGGCCTGACAGAAGACTGAAGCGTCCAGTGCTCAGCTGTTTGGGGAACATATGAATAGGGTCTTCACATCTGCTGTAGTATGTGATGCCACGATCTTTTGCGTACTCATCTAATTCACAACCTGGACTCACAAAGCTTGCCACATCTGCTATATGGACTCCCAACTCATAATGGTCACCAACATCCCTGACACTGATGGCATCATCCAAATCTTTTGCTCCTGCTGGATCAACAGTGAAAGTGATTGCCTTTACTGCTTTTCGTCTACCCTGTTTGGCTGCACTACCTTTATCTGCTAAGGAGAAACCTTCGTAGTTTTCACGTGTAGTAGCTGCAACTTTAAGTTCTTCTTTCAGCAGCCACAGACTATCACTCACAGATTCAACTTTGGGGAAAATATGTGTGACATTTCCCAAGGGATACAAACAACGCTCCTTCCATCCAATCACTCGCACCACAAATACATTGTTTCTGCTTTCCTTTAGATGCTGAAATCTTGCAATTGTCCAGCTCCCATCAATTTGCTCCCATACTGGAATGAAGTTGCGTTTGCTTTTACGGATCAGTAACTGTATTTTGGGTGAACTTTTTCTAATAGGTATCATTGTCCTTCTGATAAAATCGTCTTGGCTATTTTGCCTTCGTTTGCTGTAGTCTTCATCCTCAAGCAGGCACACAAGTTCACGGGCGGATTCATCTTTCTTGGTAATGTCAACCACCTTTGCCGCTTCTTCTCCCTTTGCTGTTTGTACGACCACTTCATCTCCAGTGAAGGCATTGCCCAGGTTCGCCCTTCCTTGAATGCTTATACGTCTGGTAGGGTTTTGAAATGGCACGACATAACCTCTGTACAGTGCCTCCCTAACAAACTTTCCTCGCTTGAAAATCTCTGGGTGTTTTACACATAACTCCAAAAGATGTGTGTCACCAGTGATACTGAATGATGGTCTTGACTTGCAGTGATTCAAGTCCTCCAATTCCAAACTGTCTTCATCTGAACTAAATTCTGTTTCCAGTTGTTCATATTCATTTTTCAACTCTTGGAGAATTGCATCACTCAGAATGTTGTTCTCATCCTCATGTTCAAATTTTTGGAACCTTGCAGTTTCCACAACATCTTTTTCAAAGAAATCTTTGGTGAAATGCTGTGGTGTAACATTGCTGTTGCTGATGCAGTGGTCTATGAAGCTTTTCCATATTCCTGAGCACTTCCCAAAGCAACAGAGGGCGGCAGCATCTCCAACTACAACCACCTCAGACTGAGCTCTAGTCATTGCAGTGTTTAACACACGGGCATCATTAAACAGCTCCAGACCATGCAGTTGAGACGTTTTTAGGCTGTCACGTGTATGCACAGCTGTCATTATGACTGCCCTGAACTGTCTGCCTGTTGACACATGAGGAGACTTTTTATAGCATAAAATTATTCATGAAAGACAAAAGAAATGCAATGTTGACATAACATAATGGAAATTCATGTAGAAGTTACAAAAGATAGATTACAATTACCTTGCACATTTGAAAGATTTTCAACGTGGACTTTGGCAAGGTTTCTTTTCGAAAGTGCGTTCCTTATTTTCCAAACCTATGAACCATAAGAAACGGTTGAGATAATTAAACATTTACCATTCTGAACATTTTTAACAAAGTGTGCTAACACATTTGTGCTTACACCCTCTGTACTACTGCAACAGCCAATCTTAATGTTTGAATCGTATGATTAATGAAGCCGAAAAAAAGTTTTTACCTGAGATCCCTCTGATAGGACACAGATTGAGCTTTGGTCCTTGGACCCCCAGGTTGGTGGCCAGTGTTTGAGAATGTCTGTCACCGCTTCAACCACTTTGGTAACCTCATGGTTGTTATACCAAGACTTAGACATAGTGTCCACGAGGCACTCTCCCCTAACATGGTGAAACTTTAGGGCATGGCCATTTGCAGGAGCTGGAATATTTCCAGCAACTTTGATGACATCATTTTTCCCAACGTAGAAATGAGAGGACACAAACTCCACAATTTCTTTTGTTGAGCGGTAGTTTTCACTGAAAATGATTCTACTTTTCTGGGCAGTGTCACACTTTTGGTCTTGGTAGTAGTGGAACAAGCGAGTCAGCAGTGTGTGATTTGAACGGTGGTGATCATCCACTGAGAAAAGCTTGGGTCCCATTTGCATGTGATCTCCAGCCAAAACAACTCTGGTGTTTGGCCCAGCAAGAGCAAGGGCCATCAAAGCTTCACATTCTAGCATTTGAGAGGCTTCATCAATTAGAATGTGGGTGAAGTATCCCGCTCCAAGCTTTAGGTCATGAAAATGTCTTGCCATTGATGTGGTAGTTATGACTATGTTGTGGTGATCTATGGCAGCTTTTGTAGGTGGCAGAAAATACTGTTTATCTTCTGAAAGAAGACAGTATTTCAGAGTAATGTTATCTGTAGCAGCCAAAGCACTCCCATGTTTGTTTGCTTTTATTCGAATTGGACTCATTCCATCATTTTTCTTGCCCATGAATGGATGGAAGTGATCTCTGACATACAGATCTGCAGAACTGAAAGAAATCAAAAAAGCCAAGGACAAGTAAATCCTGGTGTTATATTAAAATTTCCTAAACAATGCAAATTAGAGCAAAGAGCTAACATTCAACAAATACAGATTCAATAGTAGCCTACCTGTTGGTATGGGTGCAAATTAGCACTTTGTTTCGAGGGTGCTTGCAAAGCTCTCTTGCTGCTGTAGCAAGGGTGAACGTTTTCCCAGTTCCAAATGGTCCATAAATGAGGAGTGGTGCCACAAACATGTTGGTATCAGAATTCCCTGTGATAAAGTTAATTGCTGACTGCTGCTTTGGGTTCAGGTTCTCATAAGTGGCTTTACTGACAGGAACGCCACAGTTCTTCAAGACTGGCAGCACTCTGCTTGTATCAGGAAGGAGGTCCACAGCCTTGTGCAAGGAACAGAAGCTGTGACGGTCAAGCTGAAACTGCACCTCCAGTTGATACGATTCATTGCTTCTGAGTGCAAGATCAGCGCAACATTGTTTAGACAGTTGCAAATGAATTTTGTTCTCGGTTGTTTTGTGTGGCACAATGCTGGCTTCATAGACCTTGGAGTTTGGATGACGTGAAGGCAAAGGGGCTATCAGCGCAGATACAATGCTTCGTTTTAGTACCTGTCCTTCAGGGCTGTCGAGTGTGAGATTACATGGAATCGAGACAGCGCAGAACAGTTGTCCATGAGGAGCCATCGTCATGCCAGACAGTGCACTGAATAGCGTATCCAGTGTTCTAACTTCTCCACAAAAATTTAGTCTAAAATAATTAAGAAAAACAAGTTTAGGCAATGTTTTGTGAACATATGCAAATTCCATATATGTAACAAAGCAGTGATACACATAAGCATATTACCTTGAAACAACCTGGTCCTCTGCTCGTTCCTCATTGTACAGAAACTGGTGCATTCTTTCTCTGTAGTTCTCACTACTCAGAGGTGATTGGCTATTGTGGGAGGATTTATAGAGAAAGCTAATCTGTGGAGGCTTGTACTCCTTCAACAGCTCCTCCTGTTCTTCTGTCCTGGATGAACATGGGATGATAACCCTGTTCCCTCTGTGCCAGCGCTCAGCACTTTGAAAGGTGGGTCCATTGATCACACTTGGTTGTTCACTGTCATCCAATGACAGTTGGCCGACTCTTACTTTGAGTTTCTTCAAGAGCACTGGTCTCATGCCAAAATCTAGTACTAGCCACTGTTCATACAGGCCTGGGTTGATGGATGTGAAAGACACAGTAATTTCATAGGTCATGTCTTCACTGAGAAAATGTTCACCCGAGGAGTAGATGCAGGGCACAGAACTGGCGTCACCAAGAGTGAACGATGCTCCTGGTTCTTGCTTCAGCAGCGCCACATGCTCAAGCTGTCTCTATATATAAACAGAAGCAGCAAATTGGAATACTGTGACAAAATTCAAAACTTTCTGAGACATGGTAAAATTCTTTCAAATCAACAGCTTCTAACACACAAGATGAGAAATGAAGTGAGCGCACACGGTATTCCAGTTACAGTAAAAAAAAATGTTCCAAGCCAGGACACAACTTGTAAGAAGTGAGCCCCCTGACTATTCTGCAGGTGGGGGTTCATGGGAGTACATTTGTGTCATGTCTTATCGTGAGCATATGTCCTGAGGCTAGAAAACACAGGTCTGCAGCTGCTCCTACTCTGTTACCGATACCTCTTCACTTTGTATTAATCAGTGCCTATGGAGGACACAAAGATCTACAGCCCTTATCAGATACATTTCTACTTTCCCATGCAAACACCTGCTCCTGCTCCGTGTGTTTCCAGACTGTTCTAACAGTTGGAACATAAACACAAACAAGTTACAAAGTAATTTTTTTTATACATACTCAGATGATTCAGTAACTACACAGTAACATTTTACATTCACATTTGGTCATGCTTTTCTTCTAAATCCTGTCCTCTCCCTCAAAAAACTCCTGTTCAGATTCCTGTTTCTGCATAAATTGTTTTTCTTAACGCAGGTATACTGGCCAAATATATGGGTCTGTGTTTCAGTTCTAGCACAGCTCCTTATGCTAAGACATACAGTCTATGCACTTATATGCATTTGTGTGCTCATTAAGCTTCTGCTTTTGGATTTGTGACCTCACTTGCACATCTTATCCTAACAAAAGTCCCCAACCAATAGAATGTCAGGTATCATGTTGACCACTGATCGTCCCTGGCACCTTGTGGGCCTGGCCTGTTCTCTTTACTTCCTCCAGCGTCCTTTACCAGCTGGTTAACAGGATTCATCAACTCCCGTCCTCCTGGACTTATCATATGTACTTCATTTGTTTTCTTGTAGGACTTTTGGAGGTTATACATATACAAGTGTCCATCGCTACCACAAATCTGAAGGCAGAGGTTTCATTAGCACACTGAGGCAGTGTGAGTGAACAGTCTGACAGTGAGTAGGTGCACTCAATCTGAAGCACCTGACATTTCTTAATATTCCTTGTAGTTTCTGTTATTAGGTTGTTTTCTTTTTAACCTTTTTGTGTTACTTGGTTTCTTTCTGAGGCTGCACTGTGACTTGATTGTTAGCACTGTGTCCTCACAGCAAGAAGATCTCCAGGACATCTGGGATCTTTCTGCATGGAGTTTGCACGTTCTCCCCGTGCAGCCTGGGTTCTCTCTGGGTTCTCCAGCTTCCTCCCACAGTCCAAGGATATGTTGAGATTAATTGGTGATTCTAAATTGTTCATAGGTGTGAATGTGAGTGTGCTTGTTCATCTTTCTGTGTAGCCCTGTGATAGACTGGTGACCTGTCTAGGGTGTCCGCTGCCTTCACCCTGAGCCACTTGGGATAGGCTCCAGCCCCCCTGCGACCCTAGTGAGGCTGGGGGGATCTTCTAGCTGTGAGGCGACAGTGCTAACCACCTTGCAGCCCTCTGTGACAAGCTGTTGAAGTTAAATACCAAACCAACTTTGATGCTGTATTCTAAAAATTCAAATGAAAAATTTTACCTCTGTCTCAACTTCGAAGGTCCATTTCAGTGTTGCGTTGAGGTTTTCACACTCCACGATCAAATCTTTGTCACAGGAGATTTTGACATCGTCAACTTGTTCCGATATCTGCTCAGTATTAATGGTGAAGAGGATAAAGAGAAAAAAATATTCAATTTTCATTTAGCAACATTTTTGAAAGAACATGTTGTTTCAGTCAACTTTTAGTTATTACTCAAATAACATTAACGTTTAGTTCACAGATTAGTGTTTGTGGTTGTCTAGCCTGGAGTTTATCAAATAAAGCAAGAAAACTTGACAGACTGTGACTGAGCTCTGAACCTATTCCATTTCATTACAAGATGTTTTTTGCATTTTTTTTTGTTTTTTGTTTTTAATTGTATATAATGTTTTCTCTGGGTGTGTCATCAATGTTCTGACAGCGCTACAGGCTGTGAAAATGTTTGCTATGACCTGAAAAAAGACTGTGAGGGAGTGTGTTCGATAAGGGCTGTATTCAATGACTCTTGAATACAGCCAGAGAACATGATGTGCCTTTTGGTCAGTTGCGCCATCTGCACACCCTGCCAAATAAACAACCTTTAAAAGAATGACAAATATTCACACAAGACTGCAGCATTGTACTCACAATGTAGACTTCATTACTGCTGTTTTTGTATTCCTCCAAGAGCCTTTCATTGTAGCACATGAGGCCCTGGGCTTCAATGTTCTGTCTGATCTCCTTCTCTTCCACAGCACGCATTAACCACTCCTGCAGTTCTTCCTGAGAATGAGCGTTTGGGCACTTCTCGCCATACTCACATGTTTGTGGTCTAGGAAGAAATGGGAATTTTAAAGGTATAATAAAATTCACATATTAACCAAACAGCCATAAAAACGACAAACTCTTTGTATTTATATCATTCTTGTAGTGATGTTTATGGTACTGAAAAAGGTTTTACATGCCCAGATTAAAACAAATCAAATCAGGTAAATAAAATATATTGTCCCATGCATTTCCTCTTGGTGTATGTATCAATAATTAGAATATTTTAGTCATTGTAATATGACTTTTTCAGGCCACAATAAAACCAAAACAGACAAGAAAGTGCATTTTACTGTTGTCCAGAAGACCGCAGCTTAGACCTGCCATTATCTCCAGTTTCCATGAGGAGATAAGGAGGCTTTTTTTTTTTTTTTTTAATGACAGTTTTCTGTATGTTAGCCGACTGCAGAGACATCACTCTTTACTGTGTGCAGTTACATTTGTGATTGACAGTTACAAATGTAATTACATTTAAAGTCAATAGTAGTGTCCCTCTGAATGGCTAGACCACAGGAACGTGTTCCACTGTGACCTACAGCTGCAATCAGTGACTAAACCACAACCACGATCCCTGTGCTCTCTCAACTCATGTGATCTGGAATCAGTCTTGAAAATGTGCAGGTGTAGCCTTAATGTTTGGCATTTTAAAGCATATCTTTATAATGCCTGAACAAAAGCTATATAATATGTAGCTTTCTGTTATATTTAATAGGTGTAGTGATAGTCTAAACCTCCACCAAAGCTGCACATATCCTGTTAGCAAGTAATGTGCATGTATCCCATCTGACTGATAATACTGCTTAGTCTTACTCTCTGTGCCAGAGCTGCATTGTTGTTCAAAAAGCCCCACCTTTGCACTGGATGACACGTTTCGTTATTATCAATAACATCTATGTGGGACTAAGTTTTAAAAAAACATATACAAAAAACCACAACACCAAAACAAACACCTTCAGAAGAAATGTGTCATGGGAAGGACCCAAATGTATCAAGAATTGTACTTAAGTACATCTTTTCATTTATTTGTACTTTACTTGATTATTTCAATTCAATCCACATATTTTCCGTAACTATTTACTATAAACGAAGCTAAAATACTTCAAATAAAGATTTTACACAAATACTGGCAAAATGAATTAGCTCCCAATCTTTTTGACCTGTGCATCCCTAAAAATGTGTCTAGCTGGCGCTCCTGGTCATGTTTAAAAAGTCTTCAACAGCTCCAGCAAAGAGAGACTTCTCCTCAAAACAGTTCAGATGATTTCATTTTAATATCAGTCAAATACTTCACAAAGAAGACAAGTTGACTGTGTTATGGACTCAGTTACCCACAACAATTACCCAACCTTACAACAGTAAAAAGCACCATACACACTGATGCATCAGTGTGAACAATTCAATGTCATACGCAGTATAATATGTGACTCAAATGATTCACTTTTCAGGAGAATGAGTTAATTGACTTCTTTAAACTTTGTCTACATTTTGCTGTTAAAACTTCTGTTTATTCTTATGCATCATTTTGAACTCAGGATTTGCAGAGAAGTTCTAAACAAAACTAGACTGTTTGGTTTAATGTGAATATATACTCCTCCACTCTAGTAGTGTGACATTTGCTGACAATATAAAAAATACAGAATTTCACTTTCCTTTTTTAAATGCGAGGTGATGTGCTAAGGTCTATGATTAGGAACCTGCATGACTCGGCTGTAAACGACACAAAAGAGAGAGGGGCTGTTTACCTGGGACACAGCCAAAGCTCAGCCCGCCGGTTGTGTGGAGGCTGTCTTTTTTTCCACTTGGTGGTGGTGTCCTCGGAGAGTAACTGGGCGTGCTCGAGGGAGGAGCAGTGCTTGTAGAAGCTCTGTGGGGAGGACAGGGCCAGGCAGCAAACTTTGCAGTACATGGTGACCTGTCTGGAATGAGTCTGCTTCTGCCGGCTCAGCTGAAGCAGATGGGGCTGAACGGCGAGCCCGCTGTGCTCCATTTTCCACACGGCCATCTCCACCTCGCTCTGGGCAGCACGGCAGTGCCCGGCGTTGTGCCAGCAGGGCTTGCCTTGCTTGACGTGACTACAGTACTTAAACTGACAGTTTTGGGGAAGAGGACGCACCTGCTGGTAGATGTGCTTCCTGCCATTCTCTGATAGGTGATAAACTAAGACAGGGTCCCAGGAGTGTGCTGCATCTGCTGCACAAGTGTCATTCCACCTTTTGTCTGTTAGTTTTTGTGGACTTTCGTGAAAACAGGCTTTACAGAACTCTAGGAATTCACCTGAAAACTCCTGGAAAAAGCTCTCAGCTGCACTTTCTGGTGTTGTCGTACTCGACTCAGTTATAAGTTTGACTAATTCGTCTTTCTCCATTTTTTTGTCTCTAAGATAGTTCCATACAGCGGCCTCTTCATGGGTTCTTGCATAAGTGCAACCCTGACCCTGTGTATGTTGCTTACATCCGGAGTCCTCAACAAAGTAGTCACACACTTTGTAAAGTGCATTTCGACCAATATGATTAGCCACAGGCCGCTCACTGATCAGCCTCCACTGGTCAGAGCCTTTGTCTTTAGCTAAAAGCAGATTTCTTCCACACTTGTGTATAACTGACTGAACTGTGTATGTTACTTCCCTCTGCTTGAGAGAGCACAGATCACATACAGCCTTCAAATCTAAAGCTGCTAAGAGGTCTCCCAGAGGCTCGGCATTGCTTGGCTGATCAGGTGGTCTCTCGGACTGAGCCATTAGATGACGGAGACGCATGTGGTCCAAACCCTGATTCTTTTCAAATGTCCACACAGCAGCTTCCTCGTCACTTCTGGCAAAAGTGCACCGGTTCTTGTGCTGTGTGCAACCAAAGCCCTCCTTAAAGAACCAACAAGCCATATATACACTAGGACTTGGAAAGCTGGGTCGCCTGGAGACAGGCCTCCATTTGCTGCCACCTTTAGCTTTGCAGAGCAGGACATCGCGTGCACACTGGTGGTTGACTGCTTTTAATGTGTATGTAATTTCTTTCTGCTTGACACAACACTGAGCACAAACAAATTTGAGCTCATGTGTTAATAAAAGAGGAGACAGTTTGGACCCACTTGCTGACATTGTGATACATTCATAATGCTAAAATCAGCATCTAAATAAAAATATGTAATGTTGGTACATTAACGTCCTACAGACTGTAGGAATGTATTCAAAGGGGCAAACTGAACATCTGAGGAATTTCCAACTCAAAGGTATCTGGAAAAGAAAACAGTAGAGAGGACACCATGGTGAGAAGTGGTTGAATACATTCACTTGAGATAGCCAGCAAGAGTACACAGATGTGTTCTACACTGCTGAACATAGTTCATCATCCCAGCACATATGAGGAACTAGACAGCAGGACAAAAGACAAAAATATCTATGCAACATAGTGTGTGTCTACTTTACAGGTGTGTGTACTCAGAATACTTAGAATGTTCTGTTTCTCTGCTTTTCTGAGTAGTACACAAGCAGCAGGGTCATATTAAGGTAAAGAGGTGAAAGGCTGTTTTGCAACAGCAATGTACAAGCAGATACAATTTCCATTACACTTAAATATCCCACTACAGACCTCTAAAATAATTGTGACACATTCAGATTTTAGGTAAGCTCAAAGAAACTTTTCAACTTTGAGCAGAAGAACTTGAAAACAGACTTCTAATGTTAATCTGAACAGACATCATTCTGCACAGCAAAGACAAAGATCCAAATGAAGTAAACAAGAACCAAAACACATAATTGAGGAGAGGCTGATGTCAGATCTGCTCGCAGCGCGTTCTGTATACATTTACACCTGATGTTAACTCCAGATATGATTTCCAGATAAGACACTCATGGTACCCATACTACTATGATTATGACAGAAATGGATGTAGCATTTGTTGTGCTTCATTTGTCCTGAAGAGCTGCTGCGACTAGGTGGCATCATAGATGGAAAAAAAAATGCTCTGAATGTGTCAACATCAATGCTTTTAGTCAATGCATTTTTAACTTTGGTTCATGATTAACAAATGTTTTTCTTCATGTAATTGTTGTGTCATTATGCCAGTTGTGTTTGGCTCCAGTCATTGTTCAGCTGCGCTACAGCCTTAAGCAATGTGGTGGCAGCAAAGTCTGACACTGTAAAGGTTTCCAAATTCCAGACAATGGAACGAGTATGACATAGCAACTGAAACATGGCGTGTTAAGGCTGCATGTTAACCAAGCTGCTGCTCTGTATTGCTAAAATCTTGATTTTGCAATCACCACCTCATCTGACTTACCATAAACATACGTCTGTGCTTGGAATTCAGCTGTATTTTCACAAAACTTGAAGCTACTACCAAAGTCAAAGAATGATTACATGAGAACAGGAGTTGCTTTAGCTGTTTCGTGGTGGTAAAATATCCGCTGTGCCCATGTTGCCCTGTTTGTTACACAGACTGAATGTTTCCACCTTGTTAAGAGCTTTAATAGAATATTTGATTTCTTTTGGAGTTGCACTGCTGACTTAAATATTGAGCGCCCTTGTTTGTTCATATTCATCAGGACAAGTTTCCAGTTAAACTCTACAGCTTTGCATTTTAATATTTAAAAAAGACACCTGAATTAAAAGATTATTTGATTGGTAAAGCCATCAAGACTTGAATTGATACAAAAATATTCAGTGGGAGCTCTGTTCTCCTGTTTAAAATCTGGTTGCACCTGAGAATTTTTAGACAAGGTTTATTATTATTAGTGGCAGTGAATTGCTGTTACACAACTTTGTCCACAAAGCCAACAGTTGTTCATGTTGGCCTCCCAGCTTTGCATCTGTTAATAAATAATTTTAGGGATGTTTTCCAGGTGGAAGTCTTTACAGGCGTAGCTTTTTGAGTGAAATTTCTTAAAGAGGGGTAGAGTCCTTTCTTTGCAGTGTTTTCTTTGTGCTAATCTGTGGAGCAACGTCTGAATTGCCATAACTTGAGAAATAATGTAGGTTTGTAGGTTCATTGATATGTACATCTGGTCTTCAATGGCACAACCCTTTGATGGAATCATGCAAACCAGTTACATAATGGTGCAAATTTGGTCAAAAAAATGCCAACGCTTCTGTGTAACTGATATTCCACCAACCACAAAACCTTCATTGTTTACCCTAAGAGGCAGATTTTTTCCCCCCTCTGATTGGCACCAATAGGAGCAAAGTGTAGAGTATGGAGTCAGTCAAAGGCAAACTTTATGGGGTAAAAAGTACTGAAATTACATTTTTAGCATTTATTAGGACAATCTACGAGCAGGTCTGATGGTGAAACCACTCCAATAGTGTCCACACTGGAAGAGTGGGGGGTTAGGGGTATAATATTGTTACTGGGCTAAAAGAAAAATCCTGGTTTTCCATCTCATAGTACTTCACTCCACCTTCTTTATGAATTTTAACTCAAATACTAATGCTACCTATGACCCCACATTTTGAACACGGTCAACTTCATCAATATTCACCACTTTTTTAAAAAAATCTGTCAAATTGAAGATGGTCAATGAAGATGGTGAATGACCCACACATGACAAAAACTTTGTGTAAGTCTAGTTTTACAACTAAGGCAGCCTGGATATGAAACCATAAGAATAAACTATTTTTTTTAAAAAAAAAGGTAAATAATTGAGTATACATGTGTAACATACGTGCAACAATACACACATGACATATTGTATAAATACAGTATTATGATTTCAATAATGTGACTAATGATATTACATCTCCAACACAAACACAAAATATGATGTATCTGACCACATGTAAGTAACCTTTTAACAAATAACAGGAAACATCTGAGATAAAACCTGTTGAGAACAATGACCATTATAAAGCACAGTGAGCCAGCTCCTTTAAACCAACCTTTTTTGCACCATGGACCGGTTACAAACATTTTCTAGGACCAGTCATCGAGCACATAACAAATAATCCGAGTTTTTTTCTACTAAAAAATGTCAAATGACTTTTTTATTGCTAAATATGTATTTACTTTTTCTTCTGTCTGAGCATCTTGCCAAAGAAGCTCTGTGGTGAAGTTTGTTTCTATTCATTTTGGCAGCAGATAGATTGAGAGCTTCCTTTAACAGCTTGGCCTGAAAACTAACAGTCAAGTGGGACAACAGGCACAGACGGAAGCAACGGGAAGACGCGCTTGTCGTTTTTCAAAATAAAACACCCGGAAATAAAATAAACAATGTTTTGAATCTTTTTGTGCGGCCCTGCACCGGTCCGCGGCTCGGTGGTTGGGGACCACAGCTTTAGCCCCTCACCTGGGAAAGGTGACCACTAGATGGCGCAGTTATACATTTAAAACACAACACTAAGAGCTGAGGCCCTGCCGCCCACAGAGACACATCAAAGAGAGGTTTGGGTTTTATAGGAGGAAACACGCAACCTAATAATATTCACAATTACTACAACACAGCCTGTTGATTCAAAATACAAATTATGCACTTCTGCCCATCACTGGCTGTAAAGTGGACTCATTCCACAACTACTAAGTTATCTGTAATATGACGACCAGCGCTGATAACAGCGTCTGTGTTCAAAGTGAGAAGTGGAGCCGGACGGGCTGCTGGCCGTCGGCTCGTCCACCGTGTGGCTGAGATACTGAGGACTCACCGGAATGAAGCTGTCTGTCTGTCGGTCTGCCGGTCTGTCTGTCTGTCTGCCGGTCTGTCTGCCGGTCTGTCTCTCCACCTGGAAGCGATCCGCACTTGTCGCGCAGCTTTATAGCGGCCGCACCGTTCCACTGTGAGCGCTTCCAACCTGCAACCTCACTTAAGTTTCGTTTCCTATATTTTGCGTCAGCATCAGATTCCAAACCCCTCCCTGTTGTCATTAAAGCTGCTTGAGTATTTGCCTGTTTCAGAGGAAATTGTTCACGTTTTAACCACCAGTTGACGGTCTAATTTTATATTTTCTGTCTTGATGAAGACTTTTTATTCCAAATGTGGGCTGAGCTGATCAGATAAGCGCCCTTGTTGTGCATTGCACTGACAGTCATTCAAACGGAGAGTGCAGCACTAGCGGCACATATTTTCTAAATGAATGAGGTTTTGTTGTGCCAAAGCGCACTGATGTGTTCCTGTTTATGTTTGTGTGTCACATTTGTGTATAAGTGTGGAGGATGCACTGCCGTAAAATGAGCCGTCAGGGAGCAGAAGTCTGTGGGTGCAGTTTCACAACAGGACAGTTTCACCAGCGTCCAGGTTGAGAGCATTACTCACACTGAGGTGGTGCGATGTCTCCTTAGGTTTTGTTTTTCAGTAAATCAGTGTCGACCAATGCGTCATTTTTTCGTCACTCAGTCTGACTATTTGTCTATGCAGGCAACACTGCCATGTGTTGAGAAGTCATATACAGGATAATAAGCTTTTTAATGTGTAACCCTCATTTGATTAAAACCTGCAGTTTCATGACTTAAAAAAAAAACTGTTGATAAAGTTCATGAGATAATTACAGTTTGCATGACATGTTATTGATATTACAAAGTGAGTCTTGTCGCAAGTTAAATGCCAGATTTTTTTTTTTTTTAAATTTTACCTCTCAATGTGTGTGACGTCATCAGTGTTGTTGCACTGAGGTCGTGTTGGTGTTCAGTCCTGGTCAGTAACTGCAGCAATCCACTGGCCTAAACTGAGCTGAGAATGTCTGGGGTGATTTGGAGTGCAGAGGAAAGGAAAAGCAGCCGAGTGCTTACAATGGAAATTTTATAGACTTATACCTTGTTCTAGCAAAAGACCTTTCACCTGTTTACCTTAATGACCTCGCTGCTTTGTGCACTTCCTGGAAAAGCAAAGCAGAGCTTTCTTATAAATCCGATTGCATGTCTCATAAAGTAGATGTACACTATGTCTCAGCGTATTTCTCTCTTTTACTGCCAGTATCTATTTGGTCACGATTGATGCTTTTATTTTGAATTATGAATGTGTGAACTGTTGTTCGT